TGATAAATTCACCTGGAAATCTCATATCAGATATATTCAGCACAAAATAGCAAAAAACATATTGATATTGGCAAGGGTTAGATATATGTTGGACAGGAAAGCACTACGTATTTTGTATTCTTCACTGATTTTACCATACTTAGAGTATGGCGTTGAAAACTGGGGAAACACATACAAAAGCTCACTTCAGCCATTGTATATATTACAAAAAAGAGCAATAAGAATTGTGCATAAGATGGGGTATAGGGCTGGAAATCTGAACAAAGTGTTTATTTGTGTTGAAAAGCTATGGCTAGGTTTTTGTGCAAGTTTGGGTTCTGTTTTAAATGAGATGTTTAAATGCGGTGGTGGCGATGGTTAGAGAAATTATTATTAAGTCCAAACATTTTTGCTTGAATAAAGAAACTTGCCAATTCTTGTTGTGATAAACTATCATATTCTGTAGAAGAGCCAACAGTTTAACAGTGATATGTGTTAAACATGTTAAACATATTTGGCTCTATGTGGGTGAATATAGAGTGCAAACACATGCAGACAACTTAGTAGTTACTTTAAAATGCTAAAATAGAAGAACCGGAATCCTATGTACCTATGTATTATTGTGCATGTTTATTTTAGAGGATAGTTACTTTGGTGCACTAATTTTAGAACACCACAAAAGGTTTTGCCTTCAGTTTTGTGCATAAAGAATTAAAAAGTTGTGTGGGTGACTTTAACAAGTTACAGTCAACTAAAAAAAGATTTAAAAACAAGAAAAAACAGCACATACTGCTAAGACTAATTTGACAAAAGTGCATGCTGAGATTTCAGCCAAAATGAATGCCAGGGATTAAGGGAATACTCCACCCACTCCAGCACAGGGCTGTTTGTTTCAAGTTATTATATTACCAAGCAGGTGGACAAACCTTTACCTGGGACTAACAACACTGCCTGTCAGCATGTTTTTTTTCCTATTCCAGCACACAATTAGAGACATTATTAGTAATCTTTACTGGCCTTTACAAATACCAAAGAATGAAGATGAGAGGTCCCATTGAGAAAATGATTGGAAAGGTAAAAAGGGGAGAAATAACCAATGCAAAAGCCAAAGTCCTTGCATAAATCTAAATCTAATAATCACTTACAAGACTAAAAGCTGCATATTAGTTTTGGTGTATCATATTGTTCATAACCTGCTATATGTAAATGAATTATCTTTACCAGCCTCTATGGCTTTGTGTCCAGTCCTGTTATCAGATCCAGGCCTGGCTGTGGGGCAGGAACCCTTGGTCTGCCATGGTAGCTTCTCATCCAGAGGATCCAGGGAGTGTGGTGGCTGGTTAACTGCTGCCCATGTATATAGCTGGTCATGCTGGGGAGACAGTTACAATCAGAGCCAACTAATGAATAGCAGGAGAAATAATGACATTTAGATGATTCAGAATAAAAAACTTATTAAAAACATTTTAAAGGTTTTAAAATGTATTAACACTGTATGTTAGTGTGTGAAGTAGGCATGTGTCTCCAGATGTGTACATGCAAATTGATGATGTGTTTTGTGATGTGCGACAGGTTTTTCAAATGCCTAGTATACTGTAGCTTGTGTTTCACACTGTCGGTGTATAATCTGGTGTACCATGTGGTTTATTGTGCCCCCATAATGCCTTGTTGACACATTCACTGGAAAATGGGCTTGAAGTTTTGCAAGACCAAGGCAAAAATTGATCCTGACAGGCACACTGACACAGTGTCAGTTCACATTACATTATGATGCAGTATAAAAAATGTAAAAATAAAAAATCAAATGTCATATCACTGCAAATAGGCCATGCAGAATATAAACTAATTCACAAAAACACACATTATTCACAGTTGGAAAAATATGTATTAGGTGTGGCTTCATACATCAAACTTTGATGCTGTAGAGGTGATCTGGGCAGTGCTACCACACAGCTGCTCTCTGAAGCAGTCAGTGAATGGCAGCAGGAGGCCCATGGCCAAGATCCTGGAGCAGAACCTCTCAGCCTCCTCAGGCTCCTCGTCCTCTTGCTGCTGCTGCTGCAGGAACAGTTTCTCCAGGAGGGTTCGACCTGGACATACAGTAATGAAAGAGAGAATGCCATTCATACCAGCCTGTTACTGCAACAGAGTTATAGTTATGCAAACCCCCAACCTTACAGCTGTAATAATTATGACACAAGTAAAGGAGGAAGTTCTAAACAAAAACTAACTAGAGTTTGTGCCTAAACCTTACCAAGTTGTTGTTTTTATGCCAACTTTTTACTGGGAAATATATTCAATAATGGCACTCCTATATAGTGTCATTAATGCCAGTGAAACCCAGACAAACCAGTACTGTCAAACTGTCAAATTCAGTTCAGCTGCACTGGTCTAGTCTTGGTCCTGACTCGGTCTCACTCCGGTCTTGGTGTTCTTTAGCTGGCTGTCACCACAACACTACCGGAAAAGGCATTTTTTGCTGGCATGAGACTGTTTGTAATATATTTTGTATTACATGATCAGTTTTACAAAGTAGTATGAACTACTGTTTCTAAGTAACTTTAGTTAGCCAAACTAGATTTCTCAGGCAGGCCCGTTTCACCAAGTGCGCACATTTTTTGCCATAATTATCATGAAATCTTCTACAGCAGGGTGTTTCCTTGCCACAAAGGAGATCGGGAAGACAGCCCCCCCCCCAAAAAAGATTACCTTTATTGTCACTGTTGATGTAGCCTGCTGTATGTTCCACTCAGCCATAAAGATGGCTTTCAACAATAGATGTAAACATCTTTTAAGCAAACTATTTTGGAACACAATTCCACTGTCAAAGGCTATTGGACATTGACTGCTTATTGATTTCCACCTATGTAATTATTTATGGTTTTATTGATTTCCTTTATTACTGGATTGTATCCTGTTACATGCCTACAGCTTCACACTAGTGGGTAGTTAGGGTTTAGTGTGGGGATAAAAAACAAAGCCCCCCCCCCCCCCCAACTGCTTTTAGTATAGATAGATCTTTAGAGCACAATCTTTCAATTTGAGAGCATAATCCTATCGGGTCCTTGAACTCAAATTTACAATATTTTGGCTTTGATTTTGCATAGGGGAGGGAAGTGGTGATGTGTCATCCATATTTACCGGTTAATGGTTGCCCACTGCCACAGTTGTTGTAAATCCCCAAAGAAGAGGAGTTTGTGTTGCTGCTTGGCATTGGGTAAATTCATTTCAGTGCTTTAAACATAAAATATATATATATTACTTTGCATTACTTTGTAAGTAATTTTAAGTTAATTATATGCCCAGTCGCTAACAGTACATGATTTTTGGCAGTATATCTAAATTAATGTTGGCTAAAGTGTTAGCTTCACTTAAATATAGGCAATATATTATTTACAGTTACAGTTTAATGTTGTGTATTTTAACTTTTATTGGTTCACTCATTATTTGCCAGCTGAGAAGTGACCTTCTTTCATGTTTATTGCAATTAATTTGTATATGTTGTGTGAATTATGAATCTTTTATGAATTTGTGTGATGAAAAGATGTGAAAGAAAGTAAAATAAGGTGTACACGTGTGTGCTCACACATCATGGCCATCATTTAGCAGACAATTTTAGTTTAAAGGACTGGGGGATTTGGATCAGGACATTTAAATTATTAGTAAATTAAACATCCTTAACCTCACTACAAAACAAGGCAAGAATGGATTTAATGGTTTGAGTTTCACTTTGACCATGTGTAGAGGAAAGGAAAATCTGTAAATCCATAGGCTACATAAAAATGAGATTTATTCCTGACAAGCATACATGAAAACTACTGCTGTCTGTCCGCCTGGTGAGAACTTTCTCCTGCCACTGTCCTGCTGACAGACAAACAGCTGTTCTGATGACAAAGACACAGAACCTGCTGCTCATGTCTCGCTTTCAGTCTGGAGTCAGTTTAACAAGTAAAGTTAACCTAAATGCAAGTTTTTATTTAAAAGCCTTAGCTAGAATATGGCCAGTGCTGGGTAACCCATTGCGGTCAAGTAAGACACTATTAGCTTTTTCTTGGTCAAGTCAGTCACACTTGTTTTCTGAGCATGCAGTTTCTCCTACATTTATGATAATTGTTGTGAGGGCTGTTTAACATGATGTATGAGAGCTTTGCTGAATGTTGCAATCTGCAACCACACTGCTACATGTCACTAAATCTCACATACTGCACCTTTAAACTTTAACAATACCTCTATATGTTTTACTTTAACCAAAGATATTAATGGTAACTGTAAAATAACAATGCTTAACACAAACAAACCCAGGATAGCATGTGTTTGCAAAGATATGAATTAAGTATGTACTTGTGGCCTCCACTACTCAATTCTAATGGGTCCACAATGTCTGTGGTAATGCAGGAAAAGGGTGTGTCAGTTATGGGCATACTAATAAGAGGAGTTCTATCTCGGTTCCTGCTTGGAGCAGTTAACTGGCATTCTGGACAAGACTGACAGTATTTAACTGCATCTGCATACTAGGAACCATCCTATCAAAGTTTCTGGACTGCCCTAAACATCCTGCCCAAGGAATAGAGTGACTCAGGCCAAGGATTATAGACCACAGGCCCTGGGGAATGACTAGATGATCACAAATCTGACTTTGGTGATGCAGCCTGTGTCCCTTTACTACAAACCCTTCCTGTCCTTTATTGGTCTTTGGTTCACATTTAGCAAACAACATTGTAAGGGTTGGATCTTCTTTTTGTAATTTAGCAATGTTGCTAGGAATGGCAAAACACTGAATCTATAGGCTTTGACACATGATCAGCTACTTTTGTACAAAGGACCCTAATCTTGCCTTTTTTCTCTCCTGGTTTTCTAGTCCTTATACTGTCTGCTGTAACCCAGACTAGGCAGTTCAATTCACTATATATGCAGGACATACAGAACAATCAAATTACTGTTTCTCTCTCACCTAATGTTGAATGTCCTACTCAACTAGTATGTTTCAGCTTGCTATTAGACCTAAACCCTCACTGGTACAGCTAGCTCTACTCTCAAATGACTGCTTGGCTATTAACTCAGTAAGCACTGGGAGAGCACTTCCTAACACAGCCTGATAGTGGAGCTGTCCCAATACACCTACTTAGAGGAGATAATATTGCCCTTCAACCTGAATAGTTACCTAAGTCATGGGGTATTCCACCTGGTCACTGTGAATACAGAACACATCAACTGTCCCTCCTCAAAAAACAAACAAAGAAACAAAAGAAAATCCTATGGAGGCTGTCTTGTCTAATTAAAGTGTGATTACTACCAGAGTCAAGAAGACCTATGCAGGGTGTGTCTTCTAATAACACCTATTGTAAGCTCCTCCCACTGACCCTATGAAACCCCATCCCTTTCCAGTTTACTGACAGCTAACTGGGAAAGAGAACACATGTAGTTTTTGCTAACTTGTGCCTTAGAACACATTGCTTTCAAATCACCTGTCTGACCACAAAAATGGCATGCTAAGGAGGCTTTGTTTTTAGGGTCAAATTTAGCAGGCTTTAAAAGGTACAAAATTCTGTCTTGTGTTCCTGGTTCTGACAAGCAGCCAGAAATGCTTCAGACACTTCAGCTGCTTCTTTAGAGGTCCTGGGGTTCTGTTCAGGGTTCAGGATCTTGAGAAAGTGCTCCATGATGATTGTGTTTTTAATTTGCTCCTTTGTTTTTACTTTAGGGATCATCCACTTGTCATGCAAGTCTTTAAGGTGAACCTGCAGTGCTTTTGCAGTATCCTCTTCTTCCAGCACCCTGGAACAGAACCTCACCCGATAAGGCTCTACAGTCATTCCCAACTTTTGCAGAACAGCACATCTGACTTTTTTATAATTTCCAGTGTCATTAATGTCAATAGAAACATATGCAGCATAGGCCTTACCAGTTAGCAATGGAGCTAACTGAAGAGCCCATTCCTGCCGAGGCCCCTCACTGGCATGAGCAATTCTTTTAAAAGTTATTTAACAATGTTCAATATCTTGATCTTCAATATAGGGCTGCATTTTAGGGCTTTTCCAGCCAGGAAACCTCACTGGGCTAAAATGACCTCCACTAGTCCTCTGCTATGGAACAGCCTCAGGCCTCTCTTGAGTTGTTGAGATGTCAGGCGATACTGGTGCAGGTTCTCTGGAGATAACAGATGAGGCCATTGCACCTTCCATCAGCAACTGATGATCCTGGCATTCCTTCAACACCTCTTGTTAAAGCTGTGAAAACTGGTGCTGTATGTGCTTCCACATCTCCTCCTGACACCTGCACTCCTGCTCCTTCCTGGCATCTCAGAAACAATTTCTTGTTCCTGACCTGAAGCTGCTTGCTGTTGGCAGCCAGCTTGTAACTCTTCAGATGGGCACTCAGCTGATTGCTGTTTCTTTTGTCTCATTGACATTTTTCATCCCTGCCTCCTACAGGCCTCGATCCCACCACTGCCACCAAATGTAGGAAGCCTGGTCAAACTGGTAGGAGGCAGACTTAAAAAAACATCCTCAGGTTCAAAAAGATTTATTTAGTGTACCACCATGATACACATGTACCAAAAGAATATCCATAAAACAACCAAATAGTTAACAGGTACACAGTTACATTTGTATGACCTTTACCTTCACCTGCACTAGAGCAACTGCTTAAATAACCCTACCATCTGGATTAGCCTTCCCTCAGACCGCACCACTTCATATTTCTTACAGGTAGATCAGCAGCTTTTATCAATAAACATTCAGCAGAAACAGAGACATACAGTACATGCAATTCTCAAATCATATGGTTTCCAAAATTATTAATCAATACAATAAACTAACTTGACACTAATAATCCCCCCTATTACTTGGTTCAAACCCCATGACACCAATGATGATAACAGGAGAGTGTATAAAATGAAAAAGTTGTCCGGTTGCTTTCTGGCCGCATGGTAAGCATAACCAATAGGACTACAAATGAATGTGTAAAACTCTCAACTAAATCAATAAACACCATTTAAAGAGTACTTGTATGTGTTTTATTTTAACAAAGATATTGATGGTAACTGAAATATAACATAATACAAAACAAAAACAAACCCAGGATCACATGTGTTCACGAAGTCATGAATTAAAAGTGGAATTTGGCAAAACAAACATTTGACAAGTATGGTTAAGAAACTGAGAAATGTACATGAAATAACTGGGAATAAATGGAGTGTTTTAACCACTTTGTCACTTACAGTATCTGTTGATTCATTTGATCAGGTTTTATTTCTGTAATTTGAGAAATGTACATGAAATAATTGGGAATAAATGGAGTGTTTTAACCACTTTGTCACTTACAGTATCTGTTGATTCATTTGATCAGGTTTTATTTCTGTAAGCTTCACTCATTTTCCCACCATGGTTTCAGTTTGAATGAAAGAATTCAAATTTTATTTGTTGTACTGTCACATCTAATTTGCAACCAATAAAGCACAGGGCTTGTTCCACTGACTCCTAGCTGCTCACTTCATAATGTAGAAATCAGACATCAGGTTTAAAAGCATTCACTTTTTTTGGTTTGGTTGTCAGCTTGTTCTTAGTGCTGATCACTTTTTTAGCATTTAGTTTTTTGCTTTCTCCTTGCCCATGTGAAGTAGTAATACTTAATACTTAAATGAATCTGAGCCCACTCTGACACTTACCTGTAAAGACGTCCTGGAAACTGCAAGTAGAAACCTGTCCACAGGAAGATCTTCTGGTTGAACATATGGGTTGACTGCCTCCTCCTCTGTAGCCTGCCAGGTATTCTCTTGAATCTCCAGAGTCTCCACCATCCTCCTCTCTGCATCTCTGCCTCCTCTCAAGCTCCTCTGTCCAGTCAGCTGAGCGACTCAGAGGCCCAGCGAGGCTTCGAGAGCGTTGCCTACGGACCAGGGGACCCTCAGCCATGGTCCTGTCAACATTTGTATTTCTAGTTAGCCTTACTTTGAAAGTAGATCAAGTGGATCATACAGTACATTTAAACTACTCTTGTGTAAATGGTTGGTTCACTGTCAAAGACTAATTGTAAAGTGTGCTGTTTTGCTGCCTTTTAGGTTTTCATTTGCACAAATGAAAATCAACTTTAAAAAACCTACAAGCCTACAAGCTGTGAAGTAAACCATCAGAACTGCCTTACTGCAATAACACATAAAATAACTTTGCCAGCAGTCATCATGGCCACGTTTATGGACTGAATGTCAGAATATCTCAAGGTTGTTGTTTGTCTACAAATTGACTTTAATCCTATATAGAAATAAATGAAAACAAATGGATTCCTGAAATTTAGGGAGGAAGGAGGTACATAGACATGGCTATAATGCACTTTAGGGGTATATGATATTGTATTAGATGTTTTTTTGGGTCATGAATGTCAAGATACATTTCAGTTTGTAATTGAGTCTTAATCGAGGGTGGAGGTCAAACTTCAAACCTCCCTGTATTTGCAGCCCACCTCCAAGTTAGAAAATTGTTAGTACAGATAATTATATTTAGGTCACTTAATGAAAGAACCATGTCTAATGTATAGAATACATTCAGTTGTGTTTAGTTGTGTATGTGTATTTAATGCAAGATGCTAAAGTTAGCATACCTGGCTAACTGGCTGCTTGACAAGCACTATTAACAAATTCTAAATAATATATAATTTCATCTATAATTTGTATTATATATTTTGTGGGGTTGCAGCAAACATGCAATCACTGGCGATGAGGGATCACATCCACCCATCCATGTGAAATAAGGCATCACTGTTTAAATTGTAGCACTTATTGTGTGGTTGGTCAAACACACATACACACACACACACAGAGATGGGACCTTGCACACATGACTTGAGATCTTTAGCTTTTGTAATTTCCCAGTTTTCTGCATAAATTGGTCCTGAAAGGTGATGTGGTCTTTGCTAAAGTCACAAATATCAACAAACATTATTTCTAAGCTGATAAAATACAAACAGTCATGATGTCTTTATTGAACACAACAATTAAACAGACAAAGTGATGGTGGAAAAAGTAACAAGCTACCTTGACTTAGAAAAGCTTTCAAACAGTGTCAGTGTGCTATTCACAAGCAGCATCAGCTGATGTGAGCCATATCTCACAAAAGGTTCTAAGAAGACCTACAATCAAGAGTTTTTGATTTGCATGTGGCTGGAAGGGGTCACAGAGTCATCTCAAATATTTTAGATATTCATCAGTCCACAGTTAGACATAGTGTCTATAAGTGGAGACTACAGAACGGCAAAATCCGCCTTTTGGAGTGGCCCAGCCAGAGCCCAGACCTCAACCCAATAGAGATGCTGTGGAGTGACCTCAGAGAGCCGTTCACACCAGGCATCCTAAGAATATGGCTGAGCTGAAGCAGTTTTGTCAGGAAGAATGGTCTAAAATTCCTCCTGAACGATGTGCACGTCTGATCCACAGCTACAGCTACAGCAGCTTGCTTGAAGTTCTTGCTGCCAGAGGTGGTTCAAACAGTTATTAAAACACTATTACATTACTTTTCCCACCATTACTCTGCATGTTTAATATGTGCTCAATAAAGACATAAAAAATCATGACTGTGTTTTATCAGCTTAGAAGTATTGTGGTTTTGATACTTGTGATTTTGGTGAAGCTCACATCACATTTTATGGCCAATTTATGCAGAAAACCAGGATATTGTCAGCAGTGCCACTACTTTTTCATGTGACTGTATAGCCCCTTTTGTATCACCCGGTACCAGCTCAACTCAACTCAGTTTGACGTTACTCACTTTTGGTACCAGGTGCTTGGTTTTCCACTGTAGATGGTCCCCTCTAAGAGTAGCTGGTTGTCATAGTGACACCGTATTACACTGCGGTAAAATCAGCACCAACCAACACAGTAACAATGGAGGATATTGAAGGCATGCTGCTCTTGATTCTCAGTATGTGGCTAGTTAGAATAACAACTACAGTAAAGTAGTGGTTAGGGTTGAATATCATTGCTTTTAAAAGTGGCACTTTCTTTGTTCCAGGATGTCTCACATGTTGATGACACAATTTCTCTGATCAATCACTAGTCTGCAGTGTTTACACATCACCATTTGGTATCACCTCTGCTCGCTTGGAACCTCGATAGAGGTGATACCAAAACTAGTACCGGGTACCAGGTACTATCCCCAACATTTGACTGACGGAAACACAAATAAGGCAAGTCAAGTTGAGCTGGTACCAGGTGGTGGAAAAGGGGCTTATGTAGCCACCAAATGTGTATTTAATAGCATTCGCATTGTTACGCAAGTTGAGGCATTACAAAGTGTGATTCTAAGTGTAGAGTTAATTTTGCTTTATTACAACTAGGGTCATTGATTTTTATTGCTTGCACTATCATTTCTGTCCATAATGATAACATTGTATTTACCAAAGTAATTGGATAAGAGCTGGGAACATACTGACATTAGTACAGCATAGTCAGGGCAAAAAACAGTCACAGGATCAGTCAGGTTTAAATAAACCCACAGTATAACCAGATGTACTGTATGTCATATGTATGATGTATGTACAATGGACAATAATTTTAGTGTCCATCTTTATTTGTCCGCCGCATGAGTTTACCAAACTGAGGGTTGTTAACAATCTGTCTGATCTATGGTTCTTGCCTGAGTAGATTTCTTTTTTTTCTTCTTTTATTTAGCAGCATTGCTGTGTACCAACTTCTCAGCTATTTACTTGGTAAGTACAATGCCATTATTATCAATACAAATGGTGTCCAGAACTATCATAATAAGACCCAAGTTGTACTAAACTTGAATTATGCTCTATTAATTAGTCTGAATTAAATCTATTTGTAGTCATTAATTTTTATCATCTGATGACAATTAATATCAAATTAAAAAGCTTACGATGATATTTTAAATGTTGCTCATTTGATCATTGACACTGTCATGCCCAAGGTAAACAAAAATTTAAAATTTGATAAAGTGCATATAACCATTCACGTCGCAACACCACTGGTACCTGTGGAGATGAAGGTGGACTCTGCGTGGGGACAGGGGACTGTGGGAAGGGGAAAGGGCTGGGGAGTGTCCTGGGGAGCTGAGCTGTCTGGTGGTGGTCTTGATGTAAGAAGGGAATATAGGAGGGTAGGGTTTCACCACCGGACAAGAGGAGTTAGAGGAATGGGTGGACCTGAGGAGTCTTTTGGCCAATGTGGGGCTCTCCTGGGAAGGCAGAGTGGTGAAGCAGATGCTGCTCATGCTGCACTGCTGGTTGGAGGTGGATGCACTGGCCCTGGCAGCAGCAGAGTGGCCAAGTTCAGAGCCAGAATTCAGGCAGTCCTCAAGGGATTCAGCACTAGTACCCAAGCCCAACTGACCCTCACCTTCCTCAAACACAGTCCCTGAGCTCAGCCCCTCAGTGGCTTCAGGACTTCTATCTGCAGGTGGAGGGCTGAGATCCACATCCACCACAGGTTTCTTCTCCTCCCCTTGTGGGGACTTACCTCCTGCTTCATCTTCCTCCCCTGGGATTTCAGCATTTGCAAATGTGTGATGAGGGGAGCTGTTACCACTGGTTGTCATGGTAACATGACTAACTGCTGCCCCCTCTGCAGTAACCATGGTGATGGCAGAGTGAGGGGGGTGCTGCACCCAAGCATGCTGGTCCTTTGTGCTTGTGGCAACACAAAGAAAGGCTTCTCTCTCTCCCTCCCTCTGTTCCTTCCCATTTAGCTTCAGATTCTGTATCTCCTCCTCTTCCTTCTCCTCCTTCCTGTTGTGTACCTCTGTGTGGAAAGGGGAGTGTGGTGTTGGAGACTGGTCTGTGTGCATGACAGAGTCAGGCAGCTTTCCAGTCTCTAGGAATGACAGGGCATCAGACCCCAGTTCTAATTCTGGAGTCAGGTCAAGCACTTCAGAAGGACTTAATTTAATGACTCCATTATCCTGTTCCCTCTTCTCCTCTCCTCCTACCCAACTTTCTTCTCCTCCCTCTGCTTCCAAAATAGAGTTAACCCTCGCATGCTGCAGCCTTATGGCAAGCTGGATATCCGCTAGCAAATCCTCATGGTCAGCTGCTGAATGGAAGCTGTAAATATCTGTGTCTGACCCCGAGCTTGCTCCCTTCTGCCCTCCATTCTCGGTAGGAGAGGTTGCTGCTGTTGAGACGTTTGGCTGAGTTCCTTGCTTCTGTGCTCCTCCACTGACTTCTCCATTCTTTTCCCCTTGCTCAAGTTTCTTTTTCTTCTCAGGGAAAGCTGCCTCAGTGTCTGAGTGTCCAAGTTCATCTGAAGACATATCGGGTGTTTTTGTGCTATCCACATCATCATTTTGAGATGCTAGAACGTCCTCCTTTGAGCCTGTTACTGACAAACACACATCTCCTTTACCTTTCAGGTTGCCCTTTTTCTTCCGGATGGAGAAAACAGAAGACTTAGACTCAGATTTGTTTTTCTTCTTGCCTGGTCCAGTTCCATGCACCCCCCCTCCTCCTGTACTGCTGACTGCTCCTTTACCTCCATGTTTACTGTGAAGTTTTTTGCCTCCCTTTTTTGTCATGTCCCCTCCTCCATCTCTCCATCCTTCATCCAGTGAAGGGTAGCTTCCATTACCCGATACTGCTGCAGCTTTCTTTTGTTTAGCCTCCTGGTTGCCCATGTTGATGGAGAGGGTACGATGGCTGCTTGACTCTCTCAGGTCATGCCTGGGAGTGTGTCTCCTCTCTGCTGGAGCTTTTAAATGCCTATGCCAGGGGAAGGTAGAACTGCCTTGGCTTAATCTATGGATGCACGTCTGGTGAAGGAGGAAACGATGCTATTGCTGATTGTTTTTAATCTCTTGCGTAACGATCCTTGCTGTTTTCTGGTGACGAAACCTGGCGTAGCAGATATGTTGACGCTGATGCAGCCATACAGCTCCCACTTCCTCCTCCCCTTTCTCTCCCTGTCTTACCCCCCTCCACTCCATCTGCTGAAAGGAGTGACGTAGGCACTGCATGCTCAGTGGAGCTCTGACAAGAGATGAGAGCTCTTGGGATACACACACAAAGCAAGACTGCTGGAAAATGGGCAAAAGAACCTGAGAGGAATAAAGAGGCTACTGACAATTTGTCTCTTATGGTCTGTCAGTGTATATAATTGCACAGTTCCTCACTACATTACCCATGATTCTCAAATTCCTGCCTACATTACCCATAGTGTGAGCTAGACAATGAAGAGATATTTCCTGCAGCTTTCTGTCATTGCAGGACAAAGGCTCTTGAAAGTCCAAAACTGCTTCCATTCTCTCTAAACATTAACACACACATATATAATATTATAATACAATTACACTTAATAAGAATAAAGGTGACAAGTCAGATTAATTTAAAAAAATGTCAATCAACAAGGCTTTCAGGTATATTGATTCTCATTGTTCATATGGGCCCTCTTTTGATCACAGATGGAGTTTACTCCTATATCATGAAACTTCCTTTTTTTTTACTTTATGGGTTTCCTGTCCACACTGGTTTAATGTTCTTGTTGATTAGTTTAAATTGATTTCTATCTTGGATTTGCTGCCAGGTCAGAAAGAAAAAACTTCTTAGCACTTGTTAACATTTGTTTCCAAGAGATGCATAAAAATTTTTCATATTTGTCCTGTCACTTTAGCAAACAGTTTTTTTAATTGGTGGCACTATAATATGATTATAACAGCAAAGCTGTTCCAGCCCAATGTTTCTAAATCTTTATATTTATCAGCACTTTCAGCAATCATGGATATAATAAAGGTTATCAGTTTCATTTTATTGCTTTTCATCCGTTTGTGTGTCAGATGGAGCTCAGTATTTTAATTTGAATATTTGTTTAATGACGTGAGCAGGAAATCTTAACAGAGCAATGAAACTGAAAGAACTTATTTTTAAAACTATATAGATCGAATGAATGTCAAATCACCTAATTTCTTCTGGATGGAGTCATATCAAACATTCAGGTCTAATTTTTAAAATGAAATAATGAAGTGATTTTATTTAAAAAATGCATTTCCTATTATTATTAATATTTTTGGAAAAAAATATTTCTGGATACACAGAGGGGGAACACTGATCGTTCATGACTATATGGAAACCAATAAAAAAAACAGACAGGCTTTGCGATAATGGGTTCCCTCAGCACAAATGTCTATACCTTCACCTCAGTTTTTAAAATATATATATACATCTTTATACAAGGAAGAACCATTTGGTGGCAAGACAAGAGGCCGGTGGGGATGTGTCTTTGGAAGCCATCTAGTGGTGATAATGGATAAGGGACACCAGACCACAACTACCAAGCTGCCTGGAAAAGGTTATCTTGTGTGATGTGAATGAAATTCCATGGCCTGACCAAGCTCAGAGATTTATGGACAATAATGCAGAATAGTTTGACTTATATTTATAGTATGCTCTATTTTTTTCTAGTAGAATCAATTTACAACATTTGTTTATCTTATGTACAAATAGCAAATTAAAGGTACCCCACAACGTGATGCTGCCACGCCCGTGCTTCACAGTTGGGATGATGTTCTTCAGCTTGCAGGTCTCTCCCTTTTTCCTCCAGACATGTCATTAAGGTCATTATGGCCAAACAGGTCCATTTTTGTTTCATCAGCCCAGAGGACATTTCTCCAAAAAGTCAGATCTTTGTCCTCATGTGCAGCTGTAAACCGTAGTCTGCCTCTTTTATGGTGGTCTTGGAGCAGTGGCTTCTTCCTTTCAGGTTATGTCAGTACAGGACTTGTTTCACTGTGGATAGAGACACTTTGGTACCTGTTTCCTCCAGTGTCTTCACAAGGTCCTTTGCTGTTGTTCTGGGATTGATTTGTACTGTGCAGACCAAAGTACGTTCATCTCTAGGAGACAGAGCACATCTCCTTCCTGAGCAGTATGATGGCTGCGTTGTCCTATGGTGTTTATACTTAGTAATGATCATGGTATTGTTTGTACAGATGAATGTGGAACCTTCAGGCATTTGGAAATTGCTCCCAATGATGAACCAGACAGGTAGAGGTCCACTTTTTTTCTGAGGTCTTGGCTGATTTCATTTGATTTCCCCATGATGTCAAATAAAGATGTACTGAGTTTGAAGCTAGGCCTTAAAATCCATCCACAGCTGCACCTCCTATTGACTTAAATGATGTCAGTTAGCCTATCAGAAGCTTCTAAAGCCATGACATCTGGAATTTTCTAAGCTGATTAAAGGCAGTCAACTGAGTGTATGTAAACTTCTGACCCAATGGAACTGTGATCTAGTGAATTATAAGTAAAACGACCTATCTGTAAACATCTGTTAGAAAAATTACTTGTGTCATCCATAAAGTTCATATCCTAATGACAGTTTGTTATCATGACATCTGTGGAGTGGTTAAAGAATCAGTTTTAATCGCTTCAGCCTAAGCGTATGTAAAGTTCAGACTTGTTTGTCTACATTTGTGGTTCTTTACTTGTAAAATGCTATTCTATTCCTTTTGTTTTCTGTTCAAACCACACTGGATTGTACATCAAGACAGAGCAAAGTAGATTTACTTACTGTAGATACATGGATTATATACATAACAAAAACTAATTCAGTTTAGAATCAAAACTTTACACCTGTAAAGTTTGCTTAAAGTTTAGGAATATACAGTACAGCAGAACCATAAACTACAGCCTCTAAAATGACCAGAAAGATGAATCAACACATCTTAACCATCTTGAAACTGGTTTTAAAAAATGACTAATGGTGTACCTGTTTCACTGACATCCAGTAAATTGTCTATGAAATCTTTCAGAAGCTGATCGTCGTAAAATCATTCAAAAAAGAAATAAAAGGCTCAATGAAAGCCAAACTGGCATTTGTTTAATTTAACTTCCTAATTCCAGTCCTTTGTGTTGTACTTTGTTTTGAGAGTTGTATTAATTATTATTGTTGTTATACTGTATGTAAGCAGAGCTCCTCTGGTAACATGAGTATTAAAATTAAATAGATACTGGATTTTTATATACAGTATAATCCCACAAAAGCTCTAATATTTTGTGATTTTTTTTTTTTTTTACTGAAACTGTGCTAAACAAAAGATCAAGAGGTCACCATAATTATAAAAAAGATACAGTACAAACCGGCTTTAGGCCCCTCTGCTATGTTTGCCAAACAGCCTGTAAGTCTAGAACAAGTTCAAGTGAGCAAAATTCAGTTCAGCATCTTTTGCTTGAAAGATGAGGTGTGTATGCTGCATTCAAACTCTGAATATACAGTAGATTCAAAAACTGCATTTTAAGCACAGATTCATTCTAATAATTTGCCCCTCTACTCCACATAGCCATTCTTCCTGAAGGCCACGGCCTTTCTCTGATGAAAATGAGGCTTGTTCTTCATTTGGTTCCACTGGCACATCAAAATATCCCTGAAAGTTGTTCGGAAGGTCTTGTTACACAGGGCATAGCACATGGGGTTGACTGTGCTGTTTACATAACATAACCAGTAGCCCAGTGCCCAAAGAGTTTCAGGAATACAGTCCTGACAGAAAGTGTTGACCAGCACCATGATGTTATACGGTAACCATGTTGTAATGAAGGCAAAAAGGATGGCACTAAGTGTCCGTGCCGCTTTCTTCTCATTTGCCTTTTTTTCATTCTTGTGCTTGTTGATTTCTTTCTTAATCTTAGAGGCAAACCGTTTTGCCATAGCTGCATCTTTTATGGTGAAGGCTGCAGGTGATGAGGTGACCGAGTTTGATTTAGATTTTTTTTTACTTTTGTTGGATGATGATGACTGTTTGTCCTCGTTTTTCTTCATCTTCCTAGATTTCTTAACATCTGGATAGATAGATAGATAGATAGATAGATAGATAGATATAAACATCAAATATATTTGTGTTATTTATATAAGTGTTCGAATTACAGGGGAGTCAGAACCTGAGACCTGAGCTTCCTCCATGGTGACATTTTTAACTCTATAGTAAATGATCAAAGAAATTAATAAAGACTAATTGTATGGATGCTGATTCAGCATCCATACCTTGTTTTCCTGGTCTTTACTATTATGGTTATATTATTCTGGTTTCTTCCATCCGTTTTTGGCACTTAATTTTTTCAGCATACTTTCAGCTATGAAAACCGTTCAGGTATCGACCTGTTCAGCTTTTTTAAGGACATTTATGCTTGTATTTTTCTTGAAATATTTAGCTTTATTTTGAAAATCTTGCTCCATTCAAATGAATGGGAAAATTCTACTTCAGCATAATTTCAGCTATCAAAATGTTCAGCTCTTCAAGGACATTCATGTTTCTCTTCAGGGGTTTTCTAAACTTCATACTTTTGAAATATTTAGCTTTATTTTGAAAATCTTGCCCCATTCAAATGAATGGAAAAATTCTACTTCAGCATAATTTCAGCTATCAAAATGTTCAGCTCTTCAAGGATATTCATGCCTCTTCTCAGAATTTTTCTATACTTCCTACTTTTGAAATATTTAGCTTTATTTTGAAAATCTTGCCCCATTCAAATGAATAGGAAAATTCTACTTCAGCATACTTTCAGCTCTTTCAGCTATCAAAATGTTCAGCTCTTCAAGGACATTCACACTTCTATTCAGAACTTTTCTAAACTTCAAATTTTTAAAATATCTAGCTTTATTTTAAAATTTTTGCCCCATTCAAATGAATGGGAAAATTCTAGTTCAGCATAATTTCAGCTATCAAAATGTTCAGCTCTTCAAGGACATTCATGCTTCTCTTCAGAATTTTTTTAAACTTCATACTCTTGAAATATTTAGCTTTATTTTGAAAATCTTGCCCCATTCAAATGAATGGAAAAATTCTACTTCAGCTTACTTTCAGTAAAACCATTCAGGTGTCAAAATGTTCAGCATTTTCAGGGCGATCTGTCAGCACTCAGCATCCATATGCATTTTCTTCAGAAAATGCAATTCTCTAGTTATAATATAATGTCCGCTAATTGGTTACTTTAAATTTATTTGTGCAGTTCTGCCATGGTCAGCTACCGAAGTGGTCTATGGTTCTAACCATTGTAAAAACAATGAACAGGCTGACAGCATCCAGAAGTAAAGCAACCAAAAGTCAATCACCATCTGGTGGCTGGTTGCAGTATAGATGATAAAGCCAACCATGAGCCACACTAAAAACTCAAAAGTATAAATCAAATAAATTTTCCCAAAGATAACCTCTGTGTTTTTTATAGATATTATCATGCTGATGTGTGTACAAGTGGTCATTTTTCTTGTAAATGTGTTTTTAATAAGTTATTGAATGATGAAAAAGAGAACCATTTCTGTTTATTTGATAGCTTTGATTGGTGGTCCGATGCTGTGATTCCACTTCTTGCACAGAATCTGGTTGCAAAAAAGCAAGACAGCAGCTGTTGTATTCACAATATTTTGGATTCATTTTTGCATAGTGGAGGGAAGTGGTGACGCCATGTCCATTGTATATATGTCAATGGCTCTAAAAGGTGTTTCTGTTAGACACATCACCTCCACCTCTATGACCCAACCAAAAAAGAAACACGGCACATTGTAATTCGAACACTTATTATGCAGGCAAGGCCATTGCATGGTTATGTTGGCTATGTCCAACCTGTTGGAGACATTGACTGGTCAGCACTGCCAGCTTCCTCCTCAGAGCCTGACTGGTCCCCAGAGGCACCAACTTCAGTGTTGTTAAAGCCATCGCAGCTGCTCTGTGCTGCCTCTCCAACTGTAGTTGTCATGGTGTTGAAGGACTTCTTGGATGCATGGCCACCTGACTGCAGGGATAAAAACTGAAGGCAGACCACACCACACCTTCCTCTGCTTCCTCTCCCTCCATTTATAGTGGTATTGTCAGTGTTCTTCTCTGAAGCCAGCTGATTTAGTTCATAACTGCAGCATCTTTGGTAGCTCATCTGGCACAGTGTGACTGATGAGTTCTTCTGGCTGTTAGTTGCACCTACTCCACCAACCCTTCCACTGCAATTTTCTTGACTCCAGGCCTGGCTTGGGTTGTTGCCTGACCCAGACCCTTTAAGGCCTTGTACAGTTTTTGTTCGCTTCTCTGTCTCTTGATATATCTTCCAGAACAAGATTGCCATAATAGTCACAGGCAAGTAGAATGCAGCAATAGCAGTGCAGAATGTAATGGTGGGTTCAGACAGGAACTGGATGTAGCACTCATTAGGCTGGACTCTCCGCTCACCCACAATGTACTGCCATAACAGGATAGCTGGGGCCCACACAATGAAAGAGATGGACCAGGCTAGTCCAATCATAGTCATAGCCCGCTTGGTTGTACGCTTGGCCCGGTAGGTCAAAGGTCTGGTGACAGAGAAATACCTAAGAGGACGCAGAAAGAACACAGTCAGGTAAACTGTAAGTGTATGGTGCATTTCCATCCACCACATAATATTTGAAAACTAAGGGAGATATTTACTAAGGATTTGTGGCTCGTTTTTTGGTGCTAAACAGTTCATATAGAGATGCAGAAGAAAAAAAAGAAAAGTAGCACTGCAGGAATTTAAGCATTTGGTTTCATTCAATATGTAAACCCGCTGCCCTGTGTAAACCTGCAAAAATAAAGGAGGAGAGAATGGAAATTTATACAGATATCTTCAGTGCCTGATTTACCACTGCTTCAGGAGGAACTGCAGCTGAACTTTAATGTCAGGAGAAAGCAGGTGTTAAATTTACAGCTGTGTTCTCAGTGTGGCAGCTGTTAGTCATCTGAGACCTCGACAGACTTAAGAACACATGTGAGGACGGAGAGGGTGTTTGTAAATGACAGTGCTAACCAGAGGAGAATGAAGGACTTTTACAGGCTTTCAGGTCAGACAATTCAGTTCAATTACTGGGCAAAACAGAAGATGATTTCACTCGCAGGAGACTACATGATTGCAGCTCTGTTTGCTGATTTCTTCAACCATATTAAAGTTAAGTCACAATAAACACATTCTTTTCTACTGTCCCTCCTGCTACACAGAACAGGTACATCCTTACCAAAGCATGACTGACGATTTACATTTTCGCACTCTGCTCTATCTTCCTCTTCATCCTCGTTCTCATTCCAGGTTGCTGTCCCTACCATTTGTGCCTCTGACTGTTATCCTCTAAGTTCAGCGTCTTCACTTGCCCACTCTTTCATTCCAAGTGGGGCTCTCCACTCACTTTGTTCTTTAGAAAGGGTTAACAAAAAACGCTTTGCTTTAAATGCACCAGTCCACAGTCACCTAAACTGTCTATTTACTCTGTGGCAAAAATGGCCCCAGTTAATCCCAGGTCTCTGTCAGATAAGACATTTATTTTTAACAACTTTCTTTCCTTGCTGTGATCAGGATTTCTTGTTTTTAATTGAGATGTGGTCTGGAGCTGGTGACTCAGTTGCATTTGGTGAACTTTGTTCAACAAACCAAAAAAACTTTTGGTTACTATTCTCATCATATCAGTTGTCTCACCATGATTCAGTGTGCAGAAAATTATTTAAGAAATAGTACCACAACCACTAGTTCAGTTATTGTTGAGGTTTCCACATATCCTGATAAATGAAAACATTACATCACTGTTCAGGCAGACTATTGTAGTTCCCTGTACTTTGGCCATCTTCAGACTTCATTAACACATCTGTAGATGGTCTAAAATGCAGCAGGAAGACTGTTGACTGGTGCAATAAACATGTTCATATAACCCAGTCCTGGCCTCTCTCTACTGGCTTCCTGTCCATTTCAGAATTCAGTTTAAGATCTTGCTGCTTCTTTTTAAGGCCTGTAATGGGTGGCCCCATCCTATATCTTAGACCTTATTCGTTTGTATTTAGGCCCTATGTCCCTTCAATCTTTGAATAAAGTTTTAACTAAAGCTCAAACTTAAAGGGGATAGAGCTTTTGCTGTTGCTGCACCTCACTTGTGGAACCAGCTACCCTTTGACCATAAAAGTGCTCCTTCTTTTTCTGTTTTTAAATTTAGGCTGAAGATACACTCTTGTTCTCTGGCCATTTTGGCACATTAATCTGTTATTGCTGTTATGCTTATAATTTCTTTGCAATTGTTTTTGTTGTTAATTGCTGCTGCTAAATCCTCAGTTACTGTAACATTTTCATACGGGTAGTATCCATAATACATGAAGGTGTCTAGGAGATAGGTTTACCAAGAAAAAATATAACAGATCACAGTCTGCTACCTGTCAAAGCTAATGACAAGCCGGTTCATGACTGAGGCATTACTAGCCACGTAGTCGATTGCAAGCCACAAGTCACAAACCACTGGCCCAAGAGCCCACTGGTCCATGATGATGTAGGTGGTATATAAGTTCATTGACAGTGTGCCAATGGTCAGGTCAGCAAATGCCAGGCTAAGGAGGTAGTAGTTGTTTACCGTCTTCAGTGCCTTATTGATCTTGAATGACACCAACACGAGGATGTTGCCAACAACAGTAACAAGAGAAAGTGATCCAGTGAGAAAAATAATTATGATGACCTGAAGATGAAAAGGTGAGAAGAGAAAGAAGAGGATGCATCACTTTGTATATGACACTTTTACAGTTTATGTTCTGACACTCAAGTTATAACAATGGTAACTTTCAAAAGTTAGCTGAGCAGAAATTTGGAATATTTGGGGCTAATAACAAGCTTAAAACAGGGTTTCTTGAAACATAAAATACGACAGAGCAGCAAATGTTATTATCCTGAAATGGTGGTAGAAGTATCAAAATCTTAATTCTATCAAACTGAAAATATCATGTTTGCAAGATGTTAACAGGATAAACTGGGGAAATATGCCTAGTGTGATTTAGGTATAACTGCCTCAATTTAATACTGGAAGACATGCATATGAAAAAAAGATTTTTTTTGCTACTGATGCCATAGAATTTACACAGTAAGAACACAAAAGTACCCTGGAGGTATCAAATATACATGTGTAAAACTGACAAAATTGTTATTCACCACCTATTGATGGCTTTGGTGTTACAGTGTAACCAAAGCACTAACTAATACTGATATAATGTGAAAAAGACTATAGTTTTTGTAACATAGGTGATTGTTACCTGCAAGATAGTATGTCCTCCTAATGGGTCAAAGTCTTCTGCTGGTAGCATCAGGCCTAATGTCCTGTTAACTGGTGAATGAGTAAAGTTCTCTCCTTGTCTTGAAACATGACTAACATTATGCTGCTTCCATCCATCAACACTGCCAGATAATATGGCCATCTCCTGGTAAGAGCCACCTGAGGATGTGAAGATACATAGTACATGTCTTATTTAAAAGTCACATCTCAGGTCACATTCTTCTAATATGATTCCTGCCTTCATGCAAAGAATTCCAGTCACTGAGAATTCTATACAAACCTACAGTAGAAATCCTAATGATTTTTCTTTTTATGTTCCTATCTGGATGTACATAAATATTCTTGTTGCTTACAAAAGCACACTGAGAGCCAGTGTACTAGAGTTCCTAAATTCCTTGTGCATTTGGGCAACAAAGCTGATTCTGTTCTTACACATATAAGAGCTTTACTGCTGAATGATTTCAGTTGCCTTTTGGTTTAAATCATAAAGAGCTTTTTTCTCCCCTCTTCTGTGTTTTTGATGGAATGCTCATTTCTCGGTCACAGTACATTAGTTTTTCCTCTGACCCTGTCCTCTATTTTGATAATACCTGACAGTTGGTAAAATAAAATAGTAGCAGGGAGAAAGATTTTTTTTGCTCCTTTGTTCACCTTACATATCCTTTTAGAAGATTTTGGTAAGCTAAAATGTTCTCATAGACACACAATATCTGCATTTGTTAGTTGATATAGTGGTACAAAGTGTTGTGGACAACAACTAAGCTAGCAGGCTTGGATGTGATGGAATCAGACTGGTCTCTCATACCAGGAGAAGTGTTAGCAAATGGATAAGAGTAGAGCTGGAGGTCAGGCTCATGATGACCAATAGACATCTGAAATAAAAATAGAATAAACTATTTTGCCCATGTAAAAAGAGAGAATTAGGTGTTTAAGATTTTAACATTTTTACAAAAGATTTGTTGTTGCTGTTATTGTGCAGGTTAAAAATGAATTTTTGGGAATAAATTCTTTACTTACTATACCTTCTGCCAATCCCTGATTCAGAAACCCTGTCTATACCGCAGCTTCTTCTATCTTGTCTAAACTCACACATTTTCAACCTTGTAGCAGGGGAGGTATTTAAGAATATTTAAGACCTAGTGAGGTTGAACAAACCTGAGACATGACATAAATACAAACTGAAAGCATTTTGAAAAAAAGACTCGTTTATCTAAAGGTAGCCCACAAACAGTGGGGGGTTAAAGTCACCATGGGCTGGTAGAATACACTTTTGTCTTTACAAGAATGGGATGGCAAGAGGTCACACTCACTGTTAGGGTGCGCTCGAACACAGACTGAGCGAGCAGATAAAAAGCGGACCCAGGTGGCTGGCTTCAGTGAAAGCAGTGAGGTTTATTTACAGTGACGGTAGTAACATATATACAGGAGGAATAGTGAGGTAGATGACCGGGTGTCAATCAGCAGCAGCAGAAAAACAATCAGTGGTATGGTGGATGATGATGTACCGGGCTGCGGACGCAGAGGTCACTCCTGGGCTGGTCGAGGTGGAGGTGATGATGGCTGTAGACAGAAGAGCAGGGATAAACTGGGTAAGGGAGACTGTGCATCGACCTGTGAGGCGGTGGCTGGTGGTGGTTGAATGAATCTAGGGGGTCCAGAGGAGAGGTCCGAAGAGGAAGAAGACACTAGAGACGGCAGGGCAGGATAAAGACTAGGGTGCTAACAAGGACTAGAGAGAACAAAGACAATCTTAGCATAAACTCAACAAAACAACATAACAACCACTGGCCTGAAGACAGAGAAAGAACTGGCAGGGGAGTGACTGGTGAACAGTGTATAAGTATGGAGGAGACTAATGAGGTGCAGCTGGTGAGTAATCAGGGAAGTGGGGCAGGTGTGTTGAATAGTGTAATCAGTGCAAGGGCTAGGCTAGTGTGAGGAAAAAGAAGAGAGGAAGGTGGAGCTGGGCAAACCTGACACTGACCTTGACCTTAACCACTAAAATGTAATTAGCTCATCGTTGAGTCCAAGTAGACACTTTTGTCAGATTTGAAGAAATTCCTTCAAGGTGTTGTTGAAGGAATCTGAGCAGTTCATCAGTGAGTCCAACTGGACATTTGTGTCAAACTATGGTTGGGTGATATCTATGGAATATGGAGGCTGAAAGGTACCCCTTTGCCTATTCATTTACATTCAAATGTATTTGTATAGTGCCAGGTCACAACAAAAATCATCTCAGTGCACATTATATAGAGAAAAACCCAACAAATCCCCCTTGAGCAGCACTTGTTGACAGTATAGAGAGGAAAAACTCCCTTTAACAGAAGAAACCTCTGACAGACCCTGGCTCTTGTGGGCGGCCTTCTGCCTGGATCAGCTGGGGTGAGTGGATAGAGAAGAGAGAAGAGAAGAGAAAAGCATCAGGACACAACAAACAAACAAAACACTGGGAAGGTTGATGTCGTTGGTAGAAATGTAGTTCTTCACAGACTTATTGGAATAACACCCAGAGTGGTCAGCAGGGGGCAGCACGATGTTGGGCAACTAGCTGGAACTCTCTTTTGCACTCTTTACAGCTTGGATGTCCTGGGGGGGAAAGTTTTCATAGATAACATTTAGACAATTTGTTCTTATGTCTTACATCAGTAAATTTACATTATCCCATCTCTTTTTATTTGTCTCATTTAGTAACAGCTGTATGTGAAGATTATGGAAGTACATCATCTAAAGGTATCTAACAGTATGCTTTGTCCATGCAGTGTTTCAATTGCAAATTGAACATCAGTAAAGAATTGTGCCTGTTATTATATTTAACACAGGAATCCCAGCATCCTTGTTTCTCTCACTCTTTGCGTTCATGTTATCCTTGTCTTACTCTCCTTCATTTGCTTCTTTCTCCTACTGTATATGTGTGAATGGTGGATTTTGCTTCTTGTGTACCCTGTCCTCTTTTTTTACATCTTCATAGTAGAGTGGAGGTTGTGTGGCTGTTTGGAGGCACCTGGATTTTTTTCAGTGTCCTCCTGGATCATCTTAATATACAGTATGTTTACATCTCTGATGAGCAGTCCCCAGCCACATCAACCTGACCAGTGTTTGATTATTTGTTGTGTCTTGTTGCTTTTCTTCTTTTCTCTCCTCTATCCACTCACCCCAACCGGTCGAGGCAGAAGGCCGCCCACCAAGAGCTGAGTCTGTTGGAGGTTTCTTCTGTTAAAGGGAGTTTTTCCTCCCTGCTGTCACCAAGTGCTGCTCAAGGGGGATTTGTTGGGTTTTCGTTTATAACACTGTAAGGTCTAGAAGTGATTATGTAAAGTACCCTGAGATGTTTGGTGTTGTGTATTAAGTCACATTAGATCATTCTGACAGCCCTCCCCTGTTTCTACCAATGTTGCGACCAAACCTACACCCTTGGTGAAATGTAATTAAGATAAATATAAATCAGTGGCTGAAAGGATCAATAAATTCTCTTAATTTTTTAAGTCATAAGCTTACTTAATGTAACAAGTCATGGGATTGTCCTGATAATTTAAAATCTGAATGAGTTAAAATTTGAAACTGAAAATTTCCCTCAACTAATGTCAATCTATGCAAAAGACTGAAACTAGTGAAACAAATGTCAAACTGTTGACAGAACTCTAACAAAAAAGGACTGGTCCATCATCTTAATAGATAGAGAAATTTCCCTGAGACAAAGCTGTGAGTATTGTTTGTCCTATGTATGTATTTATCTGTTTGTATTTATCTATTGAACAAGATAAATACATAGATGTTCTTGTGTTTTTGTACTTATTACATAGTGAGGACCAAAACCTATTTTTTGCTACAGAGTGAGGACATTTTGGCCGGTCTTCACTTTCTGAAACAGCTTTTTGAGGGTTAAGACTTGGTTTTTAGGTTCAGGTTAGAATTAGGGTTAGGTTAGGATTAGGGTTAGGGTTATGGTTAGAGTAAAGGTTAGGCATTTAGTTCTGAGGGTTAAAGTTAAGGGTCGGGGGCTAAGGAATGCATCATGTCAGTGAGTGTCCTCACAAAAATATGTTTGTTTGTGTTTATGTATACCAAAATCTTTTAAACAGTCTCTCGTAGTTCTTATATATATATAACTACACAAAAATGGGCAAACAAAGTAATTTAATTCTTTGAGTCACTATGCAAATATGAATGCAATTGGACAACCAGCAAGCCATTGCAAAATGTGGTTAAGCCACTAGTTTACATGTCTCACTACTCCCCAACACTGCAGTACGAGGACTAGATATTTTGCCTCATCTCTTATATTAAAATTGCTTTAGGAAGGGGATCATTTCACAGCCAGTAAGGGTGAGAGCAATAATGTACATAAGGGCAAAGTAATATTTTTTAATACAGACTTTATAAAATGTAAACTTTCTAATATGATGAAGTACTACTCCTACATTGCCAAATTAGTACTTTTTTCAAGTTGCTTATTTGAATAATTTGTGCATACATGGAATATAAAAAACTGCTGGCATCAAGTGAAATTAGCTGATACGTCTATATCACCAAAGCTGCAGGAGATGCACTATATTGTTAAGCATATACACATTACAAATATAAGCAGTATATGAGGGGGAAGCACTGATTACCATTATACTATATACATCCTAACATTAAAAATGATTATGGAGCATTACTTCCCTTTGTTTATTTTAAGTCCTGTGTTGTATTCCAGTAATACCATTATGTCAGAGGCAGTGCCTTTTATTTGTGGTTTGTGGAAGTAATTAGGTAGTTGATGTTAACCAACAATACAAAGACTGCCCAGGAAGAACCTATACAAGTGCCTAGACTGTCTGCCATAAAAACATTCATGCTGTAAAGACGAGATATTTTTATGGAGTATGCAGTTCAACATAGGCTCAATACCAAACAACCTAAATCTTTGTGTTAAATCACATATAGTATATTAGCTTAGAAATCCTACTCATATCACAAATCAGCTCACTTAAAAGTCTTAATAGATAATATTTAGGGTACTTGTTCTCACCTTTTACAAATTAATAAATAAATGAAAATAAATAGAGACGTACTGTGTCTCTTGTTGTAAGCTTAATTTAGTAAGAGCTGGTGATCCTATCGCATTTGGGAACTGTATGTGAAGATTATGGGGGAAAGAACAGTCAAACTGG